TTGTTATATTTTTAAGTACATCACTATTGATATCCATTCTTCTTTAATCACCCCAGAGGGAAACCCAGGACAAATTAAAAGCTATCTATTTCTCCTACCTCCAACAGAGGCATCACCATTCTATTTCTTTTGCCTATGAATTTTCCTACTTCAGGTACCTCATATGAGTGGAATCATACAGTATCTGTATTTTTGTAACCGGCTTATTGCAGTGAGCATAAAGTACTCAAAGTCCACACATGTTTAGCATGTGTTGAATGATAGTGCATTGTGTTTGTGTAACACAATTTGTTTACCTGTACATCTATGGATGGACACTGAAGGTGATCCCACTTGTCTATTTTGAATAATGTTCCTATGACAATAGATGCATATAAACTTGCTCATTTCTCAGTTCTTTAGGGCCTAGGGTGAGAAGTGAAATTTCTGGATTATATCATCATTCTATACTTAAATTTTTGAGGAACCATAATCCTGTTTTCTTTAGCAGTTGTACCATTTTAAATTCTCAGAAACAATGCCAAGGGTTCCAGTTCTTCTACATCCAGCTTCATGCTTGATATTTCCTACTTTAAAAAACAGCAATTTTTGCAATGGGTGTGAAGTGGTATCTCATATTGTTTCTTATTGCATTTGTTTAAGATGTACATGATGATTTGCAGGATCTGATTTGCGTTTCCCTAATAATCAGTAATGTTGAACATTGTGTCATGTGCCTAATACCATTTGTATGTCCTTAGAGAAATTTCAACCCAAGTACTTTACCAATTTATAAATGCAGATGTTTATTTCTTTGTCATTGAGCGAAGCATTTTTAATGTCATTATTATATATTTACATATACATTGTGTGCATTACAACATATTTGATTGCTTAAAATTATTTTGTTTTGAGAGTCCTTGATATATTGTCACACAGGCCACTCATCTGTTTAAAGATATTTTCTTCCAATGGGTGGCTGTTCTGTTCACCATCTTAACAGTTTTTCTCAGGCAATCAGGCCACTGTTTCCCAAATATGTGTCACACACAAGAAGACCACTATTTTGCCAGTACTTGAATGAGCAAAGATGATGAAAGGAGCCAAGGCTTGGGGTACATGAGGGCACAGAAGATCGCAGGCCTTGTGTGAGGTCAGAGCTGGGCCCAAAAACCCTGGCCGTGGCCACTGAAATCTGTCAGTGTGGTCTTCTGAGTAAGAAGATCTTTGCAAACATGATTAAGTGAATTTTCTTGACCAGCAGGTTCCATCCTGGATCATCCAGCTGACTCCTGAACCCAGTCATAATGCCCTTGCACTGGAGAAGCAGAGGGAGAGTCGATGCACATGAAGGGGGATGGAACCACATGACCATGGATACTGAGACTGGGGTGACAGGGCCAGGAGTCAAGGGGAACATCAGCCTCAACAAGCTGAGAGAAGCCCGGGGGGACAACTGCCATGGAGACTCGGGGAAGGGTGCCTACGGGGCCCTTAGATTTGACCCAGAGGAACTGACTTCAGAAATAGGAGACAGTAAATTTCCTTATCTCAGATACTCACTGTGGACCATCTCATTTCAGTATCTGCTGGGGACCCTTGGAAGGAGTAGTGCACCCAGCAGCTCTGTGAAATTACAAGCAAGCAGCCAAGAAAACAAAAGAAAAACAAAAATGCCCTTTATTCTTCACATCCATTTCTGTGCTCCTATTTCAAAGGGTTGCTTCTACTTCCTCATTCCACTTCTGATCCTCCACTGTTTTCCCCATGTTAGGTTTCCATACCTGTTCCCATCCATCCGCCAGAACCGCTGTTCTCAATGGTACTACACCAAATCCACAAGGCCACTCAAAGCGGAGAAAGGAGCAAACGTAAGACCCACAGCTATAACAGCCACCGGAGGACACACGGAAACAGTTCCTTGAGAGTGGCCTGAGTAATGATAGCTTTTCAGAAATGACCACAAAAGCCAGGCAACAAAAACTAAAATAGACAACTGGGTTTGCACCAAAATAAAATAAAGTGAAGCAAAGGAAGCAATGAATCAGACAAAGAGGTAAATAATAGAAAGGGAGAAAATGTTTACAAAACATATATTGGATGAGGAGTTACTGTCCAAAATATACAAGAAACATAATAAAAATTTTAATAAGACAATTAATATCCCAAGTGAAAATGACCTGAGGGAACACTGCAAAAGAAGACAAACATGAGCAATGATATAAAAAAGGTTCAACATCAAAATACAGTGGCACTTCAGTTCGCAACTCAGTTTTCTTTACAATGTTGGTTGCAAATCAAATTGGACAACAGCCAAACCAAAAATCCCCATAAGATCAACATTGAACCTAACCAATGAATTTGATTCAGTTCTCATTCAACCCAGTCTGTGACCAGAATCACGAAGTGAATCAAATTCGTGGACCGAGGTGTTATGGCTTGTGTTTAGATGTCCTCCAAAGCCTCCTGCATTTTCAGAGGTGGCTGAATCTACAGTGTGTGACTGATTCATGGTGGGGGCTAGGCCCAAGGGCACTAGGATTAAGGGCGAGTGCTACCCACCCTAGGTAGTCTGAATAAGATAAAACAGGCCAGGAGATGTTGTTAAGGTCCTTTGTGGCTTTTGCCACTGTGTGGGTACCATGAACTGATACCACTCTGCCATGTGCCACTCTGCCTTGGAGCAAGCTGATTATGGACTGAAAACTCTACAAACTGTGAGCTAAATAAACTCTTTACCCTTTTTCCCCTTTAACTTTGAGTATCACGTATTTTGTCTCAGCCACAAGAGAAAAGTAACTAACACATGAGGTACCACTGTTCATCAGGAATATGCAAAGGAAAAACAAAATAAGATGTTACCTCACCCCTGTTAGGACAACTACTAATCAAGGAGAAAGACAGGGTTGGCAAAGATGTGGAGAATAGTGAACCTTGTACCTCCTTGTGGGAATGTAAATTAGGGCATCCATTGTGGAAAATAGTATGGAGACAGCTCCAAAATTAAAACCAAATTATCATATTATTATAGGCAGCTAAGCTAGGTAAAAATATTATAGGCAGTCAAACGGGTTAGACCTTCCAGAGAGTCAATACAAAAGATAAAAACACATTACAGCTGTGGCTCGAGGCACATCTGTTAGAGGCCAGGTTGCAAGATAAAGACAAAATGAGTAGGCCTACATGCCTCCCAAGGGATGACAAAAGTGGCAACAACTGGTCCAATAAAGTCTAGATCAATGTCAGTCACCTCAGTGGGGGACCAAGATCCCCAGACTCATCCCTTTCTAAAATAGTTCTTTGTGCGGGGGTTTAGCTCAGTGGTTCTAGCACCTGCCTTGCAATCACAAGGCCCCAAGTTCGATCCCCAGTACCAAAAAAAAAGTTCTTTGTTCTTTCCATGCACACTCACTCAGTGACCTGCTTTCCCATTGGATCAATATTATCTAAGTAGCTATACCTATTATCTTATTGGTTGATCATAGCTTTAACCCATGTTGTATGCACCTTGCGATTTTGCTCTATAAAACTGCCTCTAAAGTTGAGTCTGCTGCAACCCACTCAGGTCCCCTCCTGTCTCTCTTAGGAGCTGTCTCTCCCAGTAAAATTTCCTACACTTAACCTCCATTGTTGCCTAGAATTCATTCTTTGATTTTGGGAAACACAAACTTGGCATATCAGACATCTAACAGGTTGAGAGTTATATTATTTCCCCTATGTCTTTTAGTGGCCTTCTGTCAATATGCTCCACCAAATCATTTGTGGGTATATGGATGTTCAAGAAAAGGAAATCAGTATCTGAGAGACAAACCAGCACTCCCATGTCCGTCGTATTCGCAATAGGCAAGGTGCAAAATCAACTAGATGACTCCGTGCATGGGTGACTGGATCATAATCAGTGACACAGCATACATGCACACACACACACACACACACACACACACACACACAAACATGATGCTGAGCTCTCCCTCTGTGCCCCTACATAGACATAACCACAAAGAACCTTCCCACAACACACCATAGTCAAAATCCCAGAAATTCAGAACGAAGAAAATACTAAAAACCATTGTACAAAAATTGAAGTAATGTGTGGATGCAAACCCATCACAATTACAGCCAGTTTCTCTACCAAAGGCCAGGAGAGGTTGGAGTGAAGCATTCTAAGCCCTGAAGGAAATGAATTGCAGACCCCAATTGCTATGTCCTGGAACATTATACTTCTAAAGTGATGGAGAAATAAAAACCTTCCACGAAAAGAGAATCTAAAGAAACTCACAACCACCACATCAGCATTGCAGAAAATACCAGACCTTGTGCCCCTTTTATCTCAAGCAGACTATTTAGGGCAAGTAGCAGTCACACCCTTAATCCTACGGCCCTTAGACCTAGCTTTGCATCACGAATCAATTCCAGAAAAAGCCCAAAATGTGACTGCACAACACGTTGTGGGGACGTCTAAACATGAGCCACACACAACTCAAAAGAAGAGGTACAAGTGGCTGATAAATACATGGAACAAAGCTCAGCATCTTTGGCCATTAGGAAATGTAAATCAAAACAGCGCTGAGATTCCATCCTACTCCTTAAAAATGGCTCTCATCAAGGACTCAATAAGAGAATAAATACTGGCAAAGATGCGAAGGAAAAGGAACCCTTCTACCTTGTCAGTGGGAACATGAACTAGTACAACCACTCTAAAAATTACTGTAGAGATTACTCAAAAAAGTAAATATGGACATTTCAGTTCACCCAGATATCTCTCTCCTGGGTATCTCCCCGAAGGTGTTGCAGTCATCATATCACAAAGACACAGGCATATTCATGTCTATAGCAGCACAATTCACCACAGCTGAACTGTGGAAACAGCCTAGATGCCTACTGACAGTTGACTGTATAAAGAAAATGCAGTCTACACACACAATGGAGAATTGCTCAGCCATAAAGGCAAAGTTTGAGTCATTTTTCAGAAAAGAGACGCACCTTGAGACCACATTGTTAAGTGAAATAAATCAGACACGGAAGGTTTAATAGCACTTTCTTTGTCTTATATGAAAAACCATTCTTACAAATAATCTAAAGACCAAAGTAAAGGGAACATGATAGGAAATGAGGGAGTAGACTCCTTGGAGAAGGAAATGAGGGACCTGTGCAAGGGGGAGGTGAGAAAGGGGGTCGGAGCTGATGGAGATGTGATAGATCTGTCCTGATTCATCCAAAGCTCTGTAATCACTTCACACCGCAGTATGTACCAATAAAATAAAAAGGGCACCCTGTCAGCTGGCCCTCCACATCACCCGACTCACTCCGGCTCCCCCACACCACCTCACTGGCTCCTCTGGCTGTCTGCTCCTCTAGGAAGTTCCATGGGACCTTCCCATTTTCTGTGGTTTGGGTCAGAAATGTTCCCAAAGGCCCACGTGTTGAAGACCTGGTCCCCAGTGTGGGGTCCAACTGGGAGGTGGTAGAACCTTTAGGCCGTAGCAGCTACTGGGAGGGTGTTACTTAGGTCAGTGGGAGCGTCCTCTTGCAGGCTACACTGGGACTCTGGCTCCCTCTTGGGGTGAGCAGGCCTCCCCAGGAAGCGCCAGGGCCGTGAAGCCACAGGTACCACAGGCCCAAAGGTAAGGGGGCCAAATGATGGTGGACTGGACCCACTGAGACTAAGGGCCAAGGTTCACTGTCCAGCTTTATACCTTACTTACCTCTGGTGTTTTGTCACAGTGACAGAAAGCTGACTAAGACACCCTTCTCTCAGCTGCTGCCAGAATCTGCTCTGGCTTGTCCTCAAGAGGACAGCCTGGGCAATTCTAGTAAAGTGAAATTCCAGTCATGGCCCTGTCTCTGAAAAGGCTGTGGGTTCTGCCTCCCCCTGCAGGGCGCCCACTCTCTGCACCTGCCTTGTTGCTGCTCCCTGTCCTTCTGCCTTCCTCTGCCCTAAAACACCAGCTTCTTTTGATTCCAGACTGGCGTCAGCCTCTGAACAATACGCCACGTGTCCTCCTTTTCCTCTTCCAATATGACTTCCTGGAATGACTCAGATCCTGCTTCCTCCCCTCCTTCCAGTGAGCCCAAGCATCACCTCTCACCACGCCAGACACAGGGACTGACCCCCGTACCACCAGATTCTGTGTCTGCACGCTTTTTCTCCGGGTGCCAAACACCATCCTATGTCTATGTCATCCTATTTATTTCTTTTTATTCCCGTTCCTCTTTTCTCTAGACCAATGGCTTCTTGATGACAGAGACTAAGATGCTGTCCATTGAGGCACCTCTGGTACCCACAAATACCCTGGCACATGGTAGGAACTCGGTGTTAGTTACCAAAGTAGTCTATAAACAATGGGGGAATGTCATCCCTCCATGGATCATTCAAGAAGTAAATGCACACATTGTAGACCGAACCTAGAGGATGCTGAAGAACTAACACACCCACACATGCATGCACACACACTTGAGCAACACTGTAACTGGAGCCTGGAGTGTGATCAGTACTTGGATGGGAAGGAATGGGGGAGGGCGTTTCAGGAGCAGGAAGTGCACGTGCAGTCTCCGGGCCAGGAGGGCCTGGCTGGTGGCTGTGGTGAGAGCTTCATGGAGCAGAGAGAGGAGGCCCTAAGGAGAGTCCAGCAGGGCACAGCTCATGCGAGGCCTCCAGCCCGGACATAGCTTTTGTCACTGTCTCTGTCCGCGGAGGGGACACAAGGCTGTTCAGACTGCGCAGGAAGTGGACGATGACTGTGTCTGCAATCACATCCCGTAGGCTGGTGCTGGGAGAGATGAGGCAGCAGTGAGGTGGACTCAGTGACCAGGGACGACCATGGTCAGGGTGGAGAAAGGGATGTGGGCTGGGTCAGGCTTAGGAGGAAAGAAAGATCAGTTAGGGATTAGTGGGGTGAGTGAGGTGAAGGGAGGTCACAGAGGAGAATCACGGCCTCATTCTGCTTTCCATAAGGAGCCATGAACATCACTGGACCCCAGCAGTGAAACTGGGCTCGGGACGGTAAAGAATGGGCGCTTGTGCATGCTGAGTTGGGGTACTGGGTCATCATGCTGGAGGTGGCTAAAGGGATTTGGGGTGCAAAGAGGCCATGTCACTCACCAGAGAGACTAACTCATGACAGCGTCCAAGTCCACTTTCGGCCTTGCCACCTTCATCCTATGGTAGCTCAATCTGAGTGAAGGGAACAGAGCTTTTCAGGGTGGCCATTCTGGGTACAGAGGACAAAGGTCATCTGGCCTGTGCCCTATCGAGGGGCTAGGGGGCTGACTAAGAAAGAGGAGAGAGACAGACAGAGAGAGAGAGACAGAGAGAGACCAATAAAGAGGGAGAGAGGGAGAGGGAGAGGGAGAGAGAGAGAGACAGAGAGAGAGAGAGAGAGAGACAGACAGAGAGAGA